AAACTGACCTGCAATTTCGACGGTCGATCGAGGCCAGCTCTCTGAAGGGCGTGTGCCAGCTGATCTGTCACTCCCAAAGATTGCCAAGTGGTCGCCATATCTGTAAAGAACACGTCATCATTCTCAACCTGCGGTCCCGACACATGAACAGATGCACTGGCTGTGCTAATCTCCTCCTGCGCAGAATCCATCACTCGCGGCACTGCAGATAGAAGTGACCTGCAACCTCCTACTCCTACTCCCCATCCTCCCCCTCCCCCTCCTACTCTCCATCCTCCCCCTACTCCTCCGACTCCCCATCTTCCCCCAACTCCTCCTACTTGCCATCTTCCCCCTCCTCCTCGTCCTGCTGCTGACGACCACGATGATGATGATGATGATGATGATGACGATGATACCGAAGATAACGATGACGATGATGATGATACCGAAGATAATGATGATGATGATGATACCGAAGATAATGATGATGATAATGATGAAGATAAGCCTTGTAGTTTTTTACATGGCATTCGAGCGTCTAAACCACTATCACTAACGCGACACGTGGCAGACAGGGATAGAGGAGGAGCTAGGCGCGGCTTCACTGCCATTACTCCTCTTCCTCCCATTGCCACGTGGGATTTCCCGCCATGCCTACGCAACCCGATCAGGAGGTTCGGCTGCTTTACTCCCCCCGTCATACAGATTCGACCACCATTTCGCGATATCCAACTCCCTCCTCCTCCTCCTCCTGCTGCTGCTGCTGCTGATGCTGCCGCTCTAACGCCCTTCCACCATCGTGGAAAAACAAAAGAAGAAGAAGGAGAAGAAGAAGAAGAAGAAGAAGAAGAGGGAGATGGAGATGGAGAGGGAGAGGGAGAGAATGCCACGTGGCAAGATGAGCTCGAGCAGGACAATGAAGCAGAGATTAGATTCTTGGCGGTGGAGGCGGTGCGCGTCCCCGACCCCGATCGCGCCACAGTTGCCGCCGCCGCAACGGCGCAATAATGCGCAGTGCCGCGCACAGCAGCAGCGCCGCCACCACTCCGCACAGAGGCTGTCGCGGCCATCATCATCCCGCCCTCCTATGGCTGCCCCTCCCCCCTCGGCCCTCCGCCCTCCGCCTACCCCCGCCCCTTCCCACCGTCCCCTTCGAGTTCCCCCCCCTTTTCCTATCCCCCTGTAAAATCCACCCCCCTTCCTTCCTATCCCCCTGTAAAACCGACCCCCTCCCTTCCTATCCCCCTGTAAAACCCACCACAATAGCAATCAAAGATTGTTCGCTGCTGAGAAGCCCACACTGGTCCACATTCAACGTGCCACGTCAAACGTCACATCATCATGGCCACGTCAGCATGGCCACTTCAACCGGCCACATCAACATGCCATATCAGCACAGTGCTTGTCCCCCCTCCCATTTTCTATCGTCAACACGTCCCGTTTATGGACGCCACGTCACGTTTATCGGTGCCACGTCACATCACATCACGTTTATGATTGCCACGTCGTCCTCTTCGACTTCCCTTCATCCCCTTCCCTTCATACTTCCCGCTCAAAAAATAATCCACCAATTCTAATTAATGTGCCTTGTCACTGCTGCTGAGAAGCACACACAGGTGGACCACACAACAACACCGCGCGTCAGCAACTCACGTCGACAGGCCACGTCAGCACTCGAAATATACACACCACGTCAACAACACCCCTTGCAGTTGAATGACCAGTGGTTAATAGGTTTAACCATGTAAAAACACCGAAAGGATGATTTGTTGGACAAAACGTTTTTGATTTTCTGTTTGTTTGTTTTTGTTTGTTTTTGTTTGTTTTCGCTTTCGTTTTCGTTCAAGGTTTTGCTGTGTGCCAAATTTTGTCTTTTCCTGAAATTTTTGAAAATTCAGGAAAGCCTCTGCGGCGACAAATTTTTTCTTAGAAATTTCTGAAATTTTCGAAAACTCTCGGTCTGAAGGTTAAATTTTCATTCAACTGCACTTTTGTCCAGGCGTTGACATCAACATCCCACGGCAACACCCCCCCGCCCACATCCCACATCAACACCCCCCCGGCCCCTCCGGCAACACCCCCACGTCAATATGATTCTTCTCAAATACGCCACGTCAGCATGCAGCAACTCCAAGATGCCACATCAAATATTCTACGTTAGATATATATTATAATATCACGTCATTCACGTCAACATGCCACGTCAACATGCCACGTCAACATGCCACGTCAAGTGTAATTCGTAGCAGGGGAAGAATCGAAAGTGGGGTGCTACGCTAAGTGGGAAAGGGTAGGGATAAAAATGCAAGTTGGGCGCTGGGAGTGGGTATAGAGAGGGAACTCCCATCCGTAAATGGTGTGCGAAGTCTGCGGGGTAGTAGTACCGTAGTACAGACGTAATTCCCCCACCCCTCCCCTCCTCCCCCGCCCCTTTTTGTTTTAACGGAGGGGTACTGATTCAGGAACCAGATTAAAAGGCGCCTTATACCTCCGAGAGAAGATACTCAACAAAGCTTTTTCCTGGATAGATATAGTCGCCATGACGACCACCACATTCAGTCGAAAAAAAAAATACTGCAGGGTATGTACTGAAACGGGCCGTTTTCTTCATCCAAAACACTAACTGACAGGATATAAAGGAGAGAAATATATTGTCACATTGTGAATCAGAGCGCAAAAAAGGG